TTGATGGCGTGGTTCGTAACAATATATATATATATATATATATATATATATATATATATATATATATATATATATATATATATATATATATATATATATATATATATATTACAATGTGAATGTATAAATGCCAGGGATGTAATAATCAAAATAATTTAGTAATTATTAATCAACTTAACATAAATCATGCCCTTATGCCGTCATAATTGTAAAAGAGTCTAGATGCTTTTTAATTTTAATATTGATATAATGCAACCAACTCAAGACTACACTCTTACCCTCCCTATTATATGAAGTATTACTTGTTGAGCATCACCATAACATACAGCCTAATAATGCGCTCACCAAATGTAAATAAGCCTGAGACATGTGTCATAACTCAGCTTTATTTACATTAATTTGGCAATATTTTTCGCAATATTTCTTTCATTTTGTTTGTCTTTCCATGTATTCTGTAGACCTGATTTGTAATGTATACTGTACCTCAAAAAAATATTAGTTCACTGTTTGCATACAATATCATAATTATACACAACGTAGCTTATGTGCACAACAGAAAGTTCTAAACTCTTAAAATTTTACAGTGGGGTTGGGCTAGTGTATTGCTAACCTTGTTACGCTCTTAAAGATCTTCCTTGTTGGATGTCAGCAATAACATTATAACAACAATTATATCAGCACACCTAAACTACTGTACATGTTTATGGGACTAGAATTAGGTGCATTAAAAGAATACCGGTAACAAATTTTTAAATCCGCATCACGTCTGCATTTAAGTTTGCAGATGCAGATGTGGATGCCTGAATTCACTGGGATGTTCCGCGAATGCAGTTGAGGATATCACTTACATCATCATTATATATTATGTTAAAAAAATAATATTGCATTACATATCTGGATACTTCAGAGCAGTATGGTGGTGGTCGGAGCGTCAGTTGTAACTCTCCTCAGCCTCACAGTGTTCCTGGCTGTCGCTAAATTGCCTCTGCCTAATAGTAAGTCGAGACCCTTTTTTTATATTATGTCATACTTTTAGACCTATTTTTTGTTATAGACAATACATAAGTTTTTCAATATCTAATAACCATTAAGTTATTTTTAAAGTGCAATTTTTTAATAAAATGATTCTATTTCCGACTCCGACAAACCTCCTCTTAAGACGTTCTTAACCCTGGATTGAATTTATATTTATAATGCGAATTTTACTTTAACTCTTTAAACAAGAAATTAATGAATATGTTTTGCTGTAGCCATTGTTCCTAAGATTTGAAAAAATCCTATGTTCTATGTGTGATGAAGGTTCTCAACATAACTATATTTTGGAGTCTGAGACTTTTAATTCCGAATAAGTTTTAGTTAGATTCTGAGAAAGTTTGCCTTCATTCCGGAAAAATTCTTTAGTAGCTCTTTAATTTATAATTTCTTTACTGGTTGTCATATAATTGAATGTCTGTGAATTACACCTTTTATGACTCTTTATTAATGTGAAAAAATGCTGAGCATTAACAGAAAGTAATTATACAAGTATAAATAAATGTAGATATATCACGGAAAAGTCTTGCTAATTTTAGCGTTAAAATTTTCTCTATATAATACAGTCCCCCCAAAGTATCGTTAACTTTTTTGTTGCTACAATTTGAAACGCTAGAAGAAATGCTTTGATATGATTCCCCAGTGCATTATCAAAAGCTGGTACGCCTGCTCGCCATATCAGAAAAAGCTAAAGACGGGGGTAGGGTTGGGGGAGGGGGTCGTCCTTGTATGGCATTCTAAATACTTCAGTAAAACAAGAAACTCATGAAGCTATAGTAATGTATGTATCGTTAAAAGACGGATATATTCACTCATGCTCAAAGGCAGCGGATGGAGAGCTACCAACCATTCAGAAACAAGTTGAGTAAAATTGCTCAGAAAGCTTCAAATCACATCGACCTCGTGGGTAATGATTCTTTTGGGGGGCACTGTGCAGAGCGTGTGATAAACATCCAGGGGACATGTACAGTAGTAACATGATTGAGAATTATGTGTGTGAAATAAATTCTAAATGTTTCTGTAAATAGATTATAAAACAGAGGGCATGGGAAGTCTTCAGCCAATGAACAGCTGAAGTAATTTTCAAAAGAATCAAAATATGAAGGTAGTAGGCAGCTACCAAATAGGGAGGTACTACCGCCTGGAAAGATATTGGAAGCATAATGTGCTGCCTGATGTGCTGCCATACGTGATCACGAAAATTGTGACCAACTCCCAGGTTGCTGATCTGTCCTTCTGCCTCATTTACACACAATTTCAGGGTCATAATAATATTGTTCTCTACTATTGACAACACAACATATATAACCTCTCTCACTCTTGATATGTTCAATTTTTTTTTCTTCTTTTATTCTCCTATGATATCAATTGGCAATAATATTAAAGCGGGGGCCTCTCTGATGGTCCTACTGGTCGGGGAGGCTGTGGACCCCAGGACCGACCTGATCATCATCAAACTACTGGGGCCTCAACTGACGTCACCGCGGTTGCTGGATGATCAGCTTTTTTCACATTTCATTTTTCGTGACCTGAGATCTAATTTTTCTTCTATGAAGCACCATCTATTAACCTCTTCCTCCGACCTCTTACTACTATCTGGAATTCAACTGACCTAAGCAACTTCACCCAATCCTATTCAAGTGTCCCACTACAACCTTTATACCTCTTTCAGTTCTAAGGGAGATGTATGCGCCTACTGCAACACACGTACACCTTCAGCTCGACTCACGGATCTTGAATTTTCTCTTTATGATGTCATCTGGCTTAAAATATCTTACCAACTGTGACTATTTTTCTTTGTTTCCTATACTGTTCTCTCAACTCTACCAACTATTTAGAACTCTCTGACTATCTCACTTTTTGCCACGAGTCGTTGCTATCCACACACCCCAACACCGAGATCCTCCACCTAGGCGATTTCACTGTACATGACAGAGAGCGAATTGGCTCTGCAAGGGATGACCCAAGTGAAGTTGAGGCACTCTCTTTTTCCTTACTTAATGATCTGGAACAAATAATTAAACACCCTACACGCGTTCCTGATCGAAACCATCAACTTTCTAACATTCTTGATCTTTGTTTTCTCTCTAACCCCTCACACTATTCATAGTGAATTTCTGCCCACTTAGGAACTTTTGATCACAATCTTATTTCTGTTAAATCAAACTAGGTACGACCACCTCCCCCACCCCCCTCTAAACGCCAACTATGGCACTATCGGAGGGCAAACTGACAATCCTTGCGAGAATTCGTCTCCGAGTTCCCTTGGGAAGAATGTTGCTTTTCTGCCCGGGCGCCTCTGTATGTGCTGACAACATTGCTGGGGCTATACAGGGCGGTATGAGTACATTTGTCTCATCTTCTACCAAACTTTCACTTTACAATCATGGTTTGATCGGTCCTGCTCTCTTCCATGTAGGGAGAGAGATTGGGAGTGATAAGTTATGAAACTATTTCCTTTTCCTGTTACCCACTCCTCTTTTATTACTTCTCGGAATCATTGTAAGGTTATTCTTCGTAAGGCCACGCGGAATTAAAAAAAAAAAAAGACCGCTGACCTGAATAACTTTTCTTCTAGTAAATCCTTCTGGTCCTTAACCAAAAACATCTGTAATAACTTCTGTATTCCCTCTTTTCCCCCTCTCTTCCGACCTGATAACACTATAGCCAACTCTCTCCCCGATAAAGCCAATCTCCTTGGCACCCTATTCTCCTCTAACTCCACCTTAGACGATTTTAACTCTATCCCTCCTACCCCTACTCCTCCAACTGAACCTATACACTTTCTTATAATCTCCATTGGTAGGGTTACTGGTGTGATATCCAGGTTGGATGTGAGTAAGGCGCATAGACCGGACGGAAAACCCCCTCGAGTTCTGAAGAAGTGTGCTGGAATTCTGGCCCTGTGTTTGCTCGCCTCTTTCGCCATTGCCTCAAAACCCAAACTTTGCCTTCTTCTTGGAAGCATGCCTTGGTTCAGCCCATCCCGAAGAAGGGTGACCATTGTCCCATTGCCCTAACTTCATCCCTCTCTAAGATTATCGAAACTATCTTAAACTCTCATTTTTTCCGTCACCTTGAACGCTTCTCTCTTTTGTCGGACCACCCTGTATCTTTCGACAGGCAAGACCTATTGGTGATCTGCTCCACTGGCCTTCCTGAGGACCCACTCCTTCTCACAGGTCCGGGAAGGGGGTCAGTGGAAATTGGCCTCCTGTTTCTTATCAAGATACCTGTCTCACCAGGTGTGAGACAAACCCTGCGTAGCAATAGGTCTCACCCCCCGACCTACAGACAGCACGCTTGAAAAAATAAATTGATGTAGATTAAATTAAGGAAAAATAAATTCAAATGGTCTTTCGCATGCTCTCTGCTTCCCTTACACCAGGGGTTCTCAAACTTTTCTCAACTAAGGACCCCTTATATGAGAGAAAATAAACCGAGGACCCCCTCACATATGTCCCCCAAAAATAATTTTATATTAGGCCTATTTTTCACACTTCTATATAGGTTATGTGGACAAACAAAGAAAAATCAAAAGAAATGTATTAGATATATCTGCGCACAATTTCAGAATATTAACACTCAGGGAAAGCTGTGAATCACACAAACAGTAGCCAAAAAGTAACTTTAACCCCATCCCCAAGTGGCACCTTTCATAGTATCAAAACTCAAAAGAAGAATTCAAATAAATAAGTACATTCCAAAAATAGGAGGAACAAAACAGCATCCTTCATCCAATACACATGTACTGAGTAGTCCCTCTCTACCACAGTGACGACAGTTATGTTGGTTGGTAGGCAAGTGGATAGATGAGGCTTATCACATTTCTTTGCAAGTGAACACACACATAACAAGCAAAATCAATAAATGCAACATATCCCCACCACGGAAATAGCATCAGAGAGCCACATAAATTTAATCTCTCTCTCTCACACACACCAATATCAAATGTTTCTTTATCATTATTAATGCGAGATGTTGGCCTGTCTCTCAGTGCACAACTTCTCTATCCTTGGAGGGATGGACAAGAGGCATACTCGTGGGTCATTCTCCACATGCATCCGAGCCCTGAACTTGGTCTTCATGGTTGTCAGAGCTGAGAAAGATGCCTCGCAGAGGTACGTAGTTGGAAAAGGGAGCAAGATCTTCATTGTAGTAGCAACAAGTTCAGGATACTCCTGTTGAATAGAAGGCCATAAGGTCTACATGCACACCTTGACGGAACCGGGTCCTCTGGGTCCCATCTCATGACAGCTCCAGCAGCTCTTCCTCTGCCTTTCCACTGAGAGCCACGCGCTGATGAATGGGCAACAAATGGACCACGAACCCAGTCCCAGGCATCGGTGTCATCATCAGTGAAGTACGAACTGAAATGTTCATTCAGTGCAGTGTGGTGACAACGGATCGAATTTCTCACCAACTCGACTGATAGTTTGTTTGTGTCCAAAAACTCCATGAGTTGTGGGAACATGTCAGTGACCCATTCAAGACCCGCATTCTCCAGATCTCAGTTTTCTCCCTGAAGACCTTGATTTCATCGCTGACCTCCAGGATAGAGGCATAGCCTCCTTGCGTGGATAAATTGAGTTCGTTCAGTATGTTGAACACTTCGGCAAGATAGGAGAGCTGAGCTATCCAATCTGGTTCAGACAAAAGCGCTACGGTGGTGGGCTTGGCATCTTTCAGAAACTCACACAGCTCGGTGCGCAGTTCAAACACCCGCTGTAAGACTTTCCCACGGGAGAGCCAACGAACCTTAGAGTGGAACAGTAGTGTGTCATGTCCTGCACACATTTTATTACACAGCTGCGCGAACAGCCGAGACTGTAGTAGCCTTGACTTCACATAGTTAACCACAAACACAACAGTACTAAGAACAGAGTGCAGGTCAGGGGCCATATCTTTGGAGGCGAGAGCCTGCCTATGCAGCAAGCAGTGCGTGGCTATAATCTGCGGATTGAGCGCCTTTATTCTCGCAACCACCCCACTCTTGCGGCCAGTCATAACAGCTGCACCATCGGTGCAGACAGCAACGCAGTTCTCCCATTTCATCTTTGTTTCTCTCATGAAAGTATCAAGTATATTGAATATTTCCTCATCTGTTGCTCGCACAGTCACCTTTTTACAAAAGAAAAAATCCTCAAAAATATGTCCATTCCATGGGTACCGAACGAGTTCAATGAGCTGGGCGGAATTTGACAAGTAGGTGGACTCGTTGAGATGAATTGAAAAATGACAGGTTTGCAATCTTGCCACAAGTTGCGATTTTATGTCACAGGACATGTCTTCAATCCTACTTCTTACTGTGTCGGTTGAGAGAGATACAGATTTAAGTTGACTTGCGGCCTCTTTCCCGATCATCACCTCACACATCTCCACCACAGCAGGGAGCATCAACTCCTCCCAGATCGTGTGGGACTTCTTGCTTTTGGCTACCCTCTGTCCTGTCAGATAGGAGGCCCGCTGTGCCTTCTGGGGAATGATGGTGAGACTTGTCATCTTAGTTTGTTGTCGGCAGTACACCTCTCTCTTACGCTCAAAAATGGACCTGCTTTTCTGAGCACAATCCTGATGTTTCGTATTTCGATGTCTCCTCAGTTTAGCAAGCTTCATAACATCGTTTAAAAGCACCTGCATGCAGATGACACACTTCGGTCTCCTGTCCCTGTTTTTAATGAAGCCGAATTCAATATAACTATTGTCATATTTTCTGACTTTTCCTGACGAATTTGATGGTTCTTCAGGTTTACTTGTATCGTTGTACAAACTTGTCCATGATGACAGCTAACTACCTAGGGACAATACCGGGCTGTCCGCTGCTGTCACTGTGAGTCACTGTTGTTACTACCAGGCACGCGACTAGGAGCACATGACGGAATTTTCTGAAACGATATATATATATATATATATATATATATATATATATATATATATATATATATATATATATATATATATATATATATATATATATATATATATATATATATATATATATATATATAGGACTAAAAATGAAGTATATATATGTACCTCGCGTTTCATACCAGCTGGATTCGGTAAAATGCTACTGACACCACATAAGAGGCACGGGCAGTTTCCCAATGAGGTTCACGGCGCCATCAGCTCGATGAACAGGATTTGTGTGAAATATAACAGAGTCTAGAATTGCTTTTAGTGTCCTTGTGGCCGAGCCGGTAAGCGTTCCCTAGCCCCACCCAGTAGGTCGAGGGTTCGATTCCTTGCTGGTGAGGTCGTTGATTATATATATATATATATATATATATATATATTGTTATGCCGTCTCTTAATTTACTTTAATATCCAGGTTCTAGGCGTAACCAAACAAAAAAAGTGAAGAAAAATTAAAAGGGAATAAAAATAAATAAAGTAAACCTTTAAGAATTTAATTAAATTAAGTACTAACACAATAAAGAGCCTCGTAGGCTGTCACAACAAATTGATTCACTCTCGAAACCTTTAAGACACAAATGATACTAAACATCGAAACATCAAAAGAATAAAAATACAGCATATATATATATATATATATATATATATATATATATATATATATATATATATATATATATATATATATATATATATATATATATATATATATATATATATATTCTTAAAATTTGGTGTATAAATATGCGAATTATTGGGACCAGGTATGGGAAGGTTAAACAAACTTGGTTAAAGTTGCCATAAAAGACTGTGGATGCAAACAAATGACATATAAAATAAACATAATATCGTGAGCAGTAGCTTGCTGTGAATAATAATGAAACTGACATAATACTACACCATTACTACACCTCACCTTCCTCCAACCCTCCACATTCCCTCCTCAGGGCCTGCCATGAAAGTGTGTGTCCAACTTCACTTAACAGATTAGACTGATGTTTCATGTTTAATTTGCATATCAAATGGTAAAACAACACAAAGTTATTATTAGTAGTGCAATGCAACCTTTTCAGCATTTGCAACAGAATGAAAACAACAAACACAGTAAACTTAGTGCTAATATAGACAACATGGATCAGTTATAGCATACCCAACAAGGAAGTCTATCCAGTCTGGTCAGTTTGTTAAAAAAACAAAAAACAAAAACAAGGAAAATGGCAATTTATAGTACCTATACACCATGATGCATACAAATATTGTCAATAATTAAAGAATAAGTCATAGTCCAAGGCATTTGTTCATTTCAAACCATATAAAAAAATATCCTGCAAATTGGAATCGCCAAATCTCTCACAAACGTTAAAAGCACTATTTCTCAAACTTTTCGCGGACCCCCTAGCTAAGTGCCACGGACCCCACTTTGATGTAAGGCTTACATTATAGCACCCTCCTTCCTGTGGAATATAGCAATTGCACTAGCGAAGATCACCTCACTAAAATAGGGGTTTTGAAGCTTGCTGAAAAGTCTATTTTTGGTGAGTGAGCGAAGCTAGTGCACGCACTTATCCCTCCCTTCATTCGGCTCCTTTCCCCTGCTATTCCTGATGTAGGTTTTGGAAAGTAATAACCACCTATATCTAACTCGGGTATGCCAGGCAAGGCACAGGCAGTAAGGAGCTCTTCTGCACAGGTACCCATTCTCTCACGTTTACAGTTTTCTTCAAGCTAGTAGCAAACTATACTGATATAGTAGTGTTAATATTGGCCTTGTCACCATCTTCAAAGCCCCTGTTATGTTGTCATATTGTAAGGGCGGGGATTTTCTTCCTCCCTTATATTCTTATTTCATGCTTCTTTTTGTCTTATTTCCTTAAATTGCTCTGTCTACTTATTTCATTTCAAAGTTACTTCAACACCTCAGACCTTTGGTAGCATGGCGAGGGTAGGGCACATGGGTACTGTAATTCTGGTATCAAGTCATTGGGCAGAAATAACGGTGAATACTGGGAGAAAAGTTACCCCTAATATACTCTAAGAAATGGTTTATTAATATGAAACTAAATTAGGGTAAAAGATGTCATTAACATACAACTCCAAGGTTCAACTCCTTGGCTTTACTCATCTGCAGTTCCACTTAGATACTCTTGCTTCTACAACATTACTGGTGGTACATTACATTAACATACAGCTACAAGGATCAACTCCTTCACTAGACTTGTTGGCAGTACATATGGAGGATGCTCTCACAACACATAACACGTGATTACTGATACTAACAATTTACATGGGTTCGCTACCCAACATGGGATAATTATTTCCAGTTAATTATCCCCAAACATATACAACAAACACTGTAGACCATATAACTGTACGGAGGGTCCCAGGGTAGAACACTGGCGTCTCAACAAATGACGATCGCTGTTATGATCGGTTGTAGTCTGACACGTGGCGAGAGTCAGGGGTCTATTTCACAAAACTGGAGCAGTTCAATCCTGCCAAATCAGTGCCATCGTCCACTACAGCTCACTGTTAGGTATCCACCGACCAGGACAGCCGGTGGGGTGTTCAAAATAACCCACACACTGGATCTGAGAAATTGGAGATCGTCAAGGAAGGCTGATGATGACTCAATCACAAACAATCTGTCGTGTAGCAACAAACAGAAGACATTTTTACTTTATAATAATTCTTACACTGGGTAAATGACAATTTCACTGTTACAACATGAACACAGATATTCACATAATTGACTAAGTCAAACTGAATGACTATATCGGCGGGGAACCTACATACCTGAGATAAATTGCAAAAGCGTCAAGGGAGGGCTTTCTCCCTTCATGTGCGGGTTTATATACGCCGTGAGTTGCTACTCACGCAATGACAGACATTACATTCAAATCAACTGTTACACATTCAAGGATGACCCTCAGTTGACACTGGTCTGGCGAATTACTTAAGTTAATTTACATAAACTAATTCGAGATTGAAATTGCCAGTAAAAGTGGAATATACGTATTGACAACTGTGTTCCCCAAATAGGCGGGACTTACTGAGAGGGAAAAGGCGTTTCCTCCTAGGGATAACTCACCAGTTATGGTTTTGCGGGCGTGAAGTATAATATGAATCAACAGTTTCAAACAGACCAGCCGTCATTGTGACCATGACAATATCAGGGGCTTTTCCTCACAGAAGCCAGACGCCTTATCAACCCTAATGACACATTACCTGCCCAAAGCTCACTCGCATTCCTCCTTAGAATATCAAATAAATTTCTAGAAAACTAAGGGAAAGTTAAGTCCATATGATGCCTCCCCCGGCACCCGCCCTCCTAATTAGTTGTTTGGTTGGTTGGGCTTTAGACCTATCATCTGCCATGGTAATTAAGGCGGTCAACGACAAGCAACATCCACCAAACTCAACATCATCTTCAGGTGTTAAGGATAATTCTAGGACTACATATACTCTCACTATACATGTGGGCATTGACTTGCACCCTCCTACCTGACCCAGGTCCGTCATCCATAGCTCTCTTGTCATCAATACTTCCCCACCCGCTTGTGACCCGTCATGTAGAGAGGCCTTGAGCTCTCGGGTATGGTAATTGGAGGGTTGGAGGATTTACTTTGACCGTGACTGTATAATGTGGAACAGTTAGTAAATAAGGAGAAGACTCATAATCAAAATAACACGTATAGAGGTATTACTGCTAATAGTCCTTTCTCATTAATCTTCGCCAGCTGAACAACACACATTGTCTTTGGCGAGAGATGCTTTAGGAGCTGTGATGGAAAGAGCATCACATAGTGACTGTTCTGTCTCTCTGCTCACAGACGGCAGTATCTCGGACTTCACTGTAGTCTCGGTGAGCGGATACTTTTGCCTGTCTTGGTAAATTCGTAATAAATATTATTCCCAGATAATTCTTTCGTATAATGGACTACCGTCTACTTCCTTATCGACAAGAATGACATTACATCATTCCTCTCAAATATCCTTTCTTACATCTTACACAGGAGTTGAGTCAGCTGATGGCCCCCCGGGGTGTGGGGATATTCGAGATGGCAATGAATGGCCAGGACACTAACATGACCCAGGCGCAGCTCTCCCGGGTGGTCGACGAGGCTCAGCGGGTAGGTCACTCTCACATTACTATTGTGGTGGGTAGGTTACTCTCACATTACTAATCAGGCGGGTAGGTAAGTTTTACACTGCTGCTGAGGTGGGTAGGTCACTCTCACATTACTAATAAGGCGGGTAGGTCACTCTCACATTACTACTGAGGCGGGTATATCACTCTCGCATTACTACTGAGGCGGGTAGGTCAGTTTCACATTACTGCTGAGGCGGGTAGGTCACTCTCACATTACTACTGAGGCGGGTAGGTCACTCTCACATTACTACTGAGGCGAGTAGGTCACTCTCACATTACTACTAAGGCCGGTACGCCAGTTTCACGAAACTGCAGAGGCGAGTAGGTCACTCTCACATTACTACTAAGGCGGGTAGGTCACTCTCACATTACTACTGAGGCGGTTAGGCCAGATTCACATTACTGCTCAGGCGAGTAGGTCACTCTGACGTTACTA